CAAACTGTGGCTCGGTAGCCACATGCGGCTCTTTCACATGTGTTGTGCGGCTCCTGGCAGGGCCGCTGGGGAAGCTAAGTATCATTAGCAAACAAATATCACTGGACAAATATCATTATCAATATCTGCTTTTACTGCTTCTGTTGTTATTTTGGCAGTCTCATTTAATGTTAATAAAAAGCAAATTTGCATATTTCCCAGTAAAAACATGTAATATTCATGTGTTGCGGCTCCCAAACATTTGACGTTTATTCTATGTGGCTCTTATATTAAGCAAGTTTGGCCACCCCTGTACTAGATGAAGATGGGTAGTGGTAGCTGTGTCTGTCTGTAGCAGCAGAAAAGAGCAAGAGTCCAGTAGCACCTTAAAGACTAACAAAATATGTGGCACGGTAGGAGCTTTCGTGAGTCACTGCTCACTCCTTTGTACAGCAAGAGAAGGGTGGAGCAGTCCCCCCCCCCAGCACCTGTAGGTTTTGCAGGGAAAAATCTGAAACTCTGGGAGCAGATCTTGTTAAGGTCTTCCAGCTTGATACCCCCAAATCTGATCCAGTGGAAGCATATCTAGGGCGGCAAATGATCGCTGTTTGTACTGTACTGATCTTGCATGACACCCAGCCGAGTGTGTTTAATTTGAGGACTTAGAATCTACTTTTCAGCTCCGGTATAAAGTGCAGTATTATAAACCTGCTTTCAAGATAGTTGTTAAAATAGTTGTCGGCAAGGAAAAGAAATGTACGCTCAGCTGAGAGGCCTGCTTGAAAAGGAAAATCTTACTAGCCCATCTAAACAGGTTGGCCTTTGGAGTTCCATAAATGTGGGGCTGCAAAACACTCTTCTGCAGTCTCTCAACTGTAGCAGAAGTTCGTTACTAAACTTGATTGATCAGGGAATCAGGACAGTCCTTCAAGTATTCCCCATATGAAGCCCTGAAGGGCTTGGGACCAAAACACCTGATGGATTGTTCTCCGCTGATATGGACCTGACTGAGATTAGCTGCATCCCCCCCCCCCCAGCCTGGATAGAAGGA